CCCCCAAACCCCAAAACCCCAAAACCCCAAAACCCCTTTAATTTATTATATTTTCTTTAATATGAACAACACAAAGTATGATCCAATACAACCTTTAATCAATTACATTACAAAAAATCAGATTTTTACCCAAATTAAAATCATCTACTAACTTCTTTACAAGACCCAATCTTCAAAAATCAAAATCAGGATCAGTCACCTTCAGTAACATCTTAAAAATGTGCAAAAATTCAAATGACTCCCAAAACCCCCACAACCCTCTCCTCTCCCCCAAGTACAACGAAGAGGATCTCAAGGCTGAACTCAATGCTTACCTCGCCCACACCGAAAAGACTATATTCGTCACAAAATCTTCCAAATAACCCAAGTTCCTACCTAAACAATAAGGACTCTGAGTAATTATCAATCTCATGTATAGGCTTGGTTCTGAATCTGAGATCGATAAGCTTACTAGAAGGAACACCCGCAAGAATACACATTTAAATGGGATAAGCAAATAAGGAAGCCTGAACTAAACGAGAAACCAGAACTGAGAAATATGTCAGATTTGAGGTCCCTCGATCAAGAAGTCTTGATTTGGAGAGTTCAGATGGCCATGGAAACGAGTCTGAAGGAGTCAGACTTGATTTGTATAGTCATTATAGCAAATAGGTATAATGGGTATGAGACTGAACCTCATGACAATTGTTCACAAATGGATACAGAGCGAAATTATTCTAGTGTATCGAAGTACCAAAGTGTCAAAGAACCTAAAAGATGCCATTCTTTCCAAGGATGCTTTAATAATACAGCTTTTACTAATGAATCTGTCAGAATGAAAGACATCAAGAGCAACATGAGTTATGTCGATGGAAAGTCAAAGAATAGGAACAAAAGCATTTTAATAGGTAGCAATCACACAGATAATGGCTCTCATGCCTCCTGTGTACCTCCAGTAATATCTTCTTTAGCGAAGACTGCTCCTGTAGATACTGAAAAGAGGTTTATCTTGGAAATATCAACCTTCAACCTTGTTCTGTCAATAATTCTTCTGTTATTAATTGCCATACAGTTACTGAATATTTTTGGATCAAAACTAAATGGAGAAGTAAGTGTCTAGTTTATTTCCCTAATTCCCTTGCTAATTTTGACAAATAGGTCTGAAATGGCCAGTAATGTGTCAAAACTCCATGGCAAAATTCCTGAAAATATTGAGAAAAATAGTCGCAAATTCAATTTGGTCATCAATAATAGGGGTTTTGGGGTTTTGGGGTTTTGGGGTTTTGGGG